CACTGGGCGTGAGGTGGGGTGTTAAAGAATGACAAAAGTCCCACATCGGTGATTAATGAGATGGGTGGACTCCTTATAAGGCTTGGGCAATCCTCCTCCCTTTGAGCTAGCTTTTGGGGTGTGAGTTAGGCCTAAGACCTAATTTAACATGCTCTGATACCATGTTGATTATGAACAATTTTAACATACCATTGATGAATTAATCAGAGATGCATTGTGAAGAAGAAGAGAAGAAGAGAGGATATTATTTTCTGATGGTTTCTTTACAATGAAACAGTGCATTTATAATATGCACATTACCGTCCTTAACCGACTAACAGTAAAGCTAACAACCTTCAACTAACTTTTCTATTTACTTAATTACCCTTAATTGACCTTATGTTTATCATCAAGTAACTCCTATCACATTACTTCCCCTCAAGCTGGTGGGTGTAAACACATTGAGCACACAAAGCTTGCCTACTAAATTTTCATATTGTGATCTAGGGAGGCCTTTAGTTAATATGTCTGCAAGTTGTTCCTTAGAGTTTACATGTTCTGTCTTCATAATCCCTGCTTGTATCTTTTGTCTAATGAAATGACAATCAATCTCTATGTGTTTTGTTCTCTCATGAAACACTGGATTAGCTGCTATTTGTAATGCTGCCCTGCTATCACTGTATACCATAGCTGGTTGATCTACTTCATTCCCCAGTTCCTTCAATAAAGCAATAATCCATACTAACTCTGAAACTGCATTGGCCATGCTTCGATACTCAGCTTCAGCTGAGCTTCTAGAGACTATATTTTGCTTCTTTGATTTCCATGACAGCAATGTTGAGACTGACCTTCTTGTATTAGGACATGATGCCCAATCTGCATCACAGTATACACTTAGCTCGTTTGATTGTTTGCTGCTCAATAATATTCCAAGTCCTGGTTCTCTTTTAATGTACTTCATCACCCTCACTGCTGCTTCCCAGTGTGTCTTTTTAGGTTGTTGTAGAAATTGACTAAGTGTTTGGACTGAGTAAGCAATATCTGGTCTTGTCATAGTCAAGTACAACATCTTGCCTACTAATCTCTGGTATCGTTCCTTATCTTCAAATGGCTCATCATCATAATCTCCTGTGAGGCAGTCCAGTTCTGAAACTGTCAACCTTACATTGGCTTCAAGTGGAGTCCAAGCAGGTTTGCCACTCCCCAATCCTAAATCTGAAATAATTTCCAGTGTATACTTCCTTTGATTCATCAAAATACCTTTGGCAAATCTACTGAACTCCATACCAAGGAAAAAATTTAATTCACCAAGATCCTTGATCTTGAAGGCTTTATGTAAGATAGACTTTGTGTGTTCAATAAGAGTCAAGCTGCTTCCTGTCACTAACATGTCATCTACATAAACAAGAATCACCACCATATTTGATCTTTTTCTTTGTATAAACAATGAGTGATCTAAGCTGCTTTGAATAAAATCAGATTCCACTAATGCCTCAGTCAATTTCAAATTCCACTGTCTACTTGCTTGTTTAAGCCCATAGAGGGATTTGACAAGTCTGCATACAAGACCAGACTTCCCCTGACTTGCAAAACCCTCAGGCAACTGCATATAAACTTCATCATGAAGATCACCTTGCAAGAAAGCATTGTAGACATCTAACTGATGAACAGACCAGTTAAACTGAGCAGCCAAAGAAAGAACAGTCCTGACAGTAGCTATCTTCACAACAGGAGAGAAAGTTTCATGAAAATCAAGACCTGCTCTTTGAGTGTAGCCCTTTGCTACTAGTCTAGCTTTAAACCTCTCAACATCACCATTAGCTTGTAGTTTCACTTTAAAGACCCATCGACAACCAATTGGAACTTTACCTTTAGGAAGAGGAACCAAGTCTCATGTATGGTTATCTTGGAGAGCCTGCAATTCAGATTGCATAGCTTCCATCCATCTAACATCTGAGGCTGCTTCTTGGTAGGAAGTTGGTTCAAGAACAACAGAAAAAACCTGTAAGTATTTCTGATAGGAAGGGGACAAGTGATATGATATAGAAGCCTCCAGGGGATATAAAACAGTGCTAGCTGAAGGTCTGGAAGCATAGTCTGATAGCCAGAGATGTTGTTTAGAGATCTTAGTAGATCTTCTAGGTGGTGGAGGAGTGGGATCAGATGAAACAGGAGGTGAAGCAACAGGAATGGGAACCAAAGGTGGAGGTAAGTCATTTTGAGGTACAATAATGTCAACAGAAATATCATCATGTGTATAAAGTTCAGGAGAAAAAGAAAATATATGGGAGGAAGGTTCAGGTGGCTTAGAATAATGCTGAAAAGGAAACGTATCTTCATGAAATACCACATCCCTGTTGAGAAAAAACTTTTGGTGTTGTAGATCAAAACAAATGTAGCCTTTGGTAACACTTGAATATCCCATAAAAATTGACCTTATAGCTCTTGGGGCAAACTTGTCAGTTCTAGGCAGATTGCTTGCAAAACACAAACAACCAAGAGTTCTCAAGTGAGTAAGAGATGGTTTTGTCCAAGAAAATTCATAAGGTGACTTGCCTCTAAAGAATGAGAAGGTAGTCTATTAATGATATAGGCTGTAGCAAGAACACAATCCCCCAAAAACTGTAATGGAATGTGACCTTGAAACCTTAAAGCTCTAGCAACTTCAAGAAGATACATGTGTTTCCTCTCCGCAACCCCATTTTGCTGAGAAGTATGAGCACATGTCTTATAATGTAAGATTCCCAATTCTGTGAATAATGCCTGCATGGAACTACTGATGAACTCACCCCCATTATCAGTCCTCACACTTTTAACTGTAGTGGAAAATTGAGTAACAACCATTCTAAAAAATTGTTTAAGAATCAACAATACATCACTTTTGAATTTCAATAGAAAAATTCACACAGTTCTTGAAAAATCATCAACAATAGTGAGTTCTGATACCATGATGAGATTCAACAATTGTGAAACAAGGTTATGGAATCACTGATGAACTAGAGAGAAAACTGTAACTTTTATTCATGAAAAATGAATGTATATGTACACAATATTGGCACTATGCTATTTATAGTGTGTCTACTCATAAACCTCCTAATCTAGTTAATCTAACTCAACCATAGTTAACTTTAACTAACATTGTAACAAACTCTATAACTAACTTTCCAGTTTCACTATTCATAATAACTGACTTCTAGCTTCAACTTGTTTATAACATCCCTCCTCAAGTTGGTGGCTGATATATGTCTTTAAATCCCAGCTTGGACAGTAGATACAAGTGTGAAGCTTTCCATAGACCCTTTGTAAGTAAGTCTGCTAGCTGCTCTTTTGTGGATACATGGTGAGTTTTTATCATTCCGTTAAGCAGCTTCTCTCTAACAAAATAACAGTCAATATCAAAGTGTTTAGTTCTCTCGTGAAAAATAGGATTGGCTGCAATTTGTATTGCAGCCTTGCTGTCACAAAATAGATCAACTGGTTGTTTAATCTTCACTCCCAGTTCACTATATAAGCCAATAAGCCAAGTAATCTCAGCTACTGAAGATGCCATACTTCTAAACTCTGCTTCTGCAGAACTTCTTGCTACAGTCTCTTGTTTCTTTGACTTCCAGGATACAAGAGCATCACCAAACCTCACTAAGTATCCAGTAACTGACCTCCTTGTTTGCAAACAGGTACCCCAGTCTGAGTCATAATAGACTGTTAACAACTCTGAACTCTGTGAAGGCATGAACAGGCCCAATCCAGGTGATGACTTTATATACTTGACTACCCTTAGTGCAGCTTCCATGTGGGATTCTTTAGGAGCATGCATATACTGACTTAACAATTGTACTGCAAACGAAATATCCACCCTGGTCATTGTTAGATATAGTAATCTACCTACAAGTCTTTGATATCTACCAATATCTAGCACAAGTTTGTCCTTAGCTGTAGTATATGTATCTTGTACATGTGAATCATACTCAATAGATGTTAATCGTATATTAGGATCCAGTGGTGTATGGACTGGTTTGGCACCACTTAATCCCATTTCTGAGATAAGTTCCAAAGCATACTTGCGCTGGCTCATGATATAACACCCCACCTCACGCCCAGTGCTTAGCATCTGGTGCGTGGGCAATTTTGATTTTGGGTATAATAGAAATAAAAAAATTGTTCTTTCTTGATTTGTCAAAAAATGACAAATAAAAAAGGGAAATCAAATTAGGAAATATTTGACAAGTAAATAGGGACGAAAAAAGTATACTTTAATTTATATTTTTTACACGTGTCCTCCAAATTAATAACTATGATATTAGGGTATTTTAGCATAAAAAAAGTTGATATATGCCAAAAAATCTATTACTAAGCCAAAAAAATGATATTTAGCAACAATTAATGAACGTTATTAGTTTAATTGTCACTAAATATGTTCTTTGACAATTAGCACTTTTTTTATAAATGTTTTTTAGGCCTATAGTGATATTGAATCTAATGTCAATTCACAAATATCGATAAAGATTTTAGCATTCTTTATTTAAATTGCATATATATTACCGCTCGTATCTAATTCAGAACAGTGTAGTTATATAGTATTATTATATATACATAACAGAAAAGCTAGCTAGCTAGCGAGAGTACAATTTAGCCCAAAAGAATAAGCTAATGGTAATATATTTACATGACATACGTGCACTCTTTGTAGAAGAAGAACAAGTATGCTTAAATATTTACAAACTAGTTTTCGAAATAAAAAGAAAATGTGATCTGATCAAGATGGAAACAGCGGTAGGGTAGTAGGGCTCCTTAAAATCTGACCATTTTTGAACTCTATATTATCTAGCTTTTGTTGGCACCATTTGAAATGAGAAGTAGAAATAATGGACATATAGAGAATCCTTGATACCAGCTTCATGTCTATCAATGTTAACACAAACTCTATTTTGCTCAAGTCTTCTTGTTGAGGCTTTATTGCTCTTCTCAGCCAACATTTTCTCTTACCTTTCACGTCCTTCATCCATAACTCTTTCTTCAGGATAACCAACAAAAAATAAATCATCTTGAGTTAGAAAATATTCTCCCATGTTTGATTGGAGAGCGAAAAATATTTATATAAGAAAAAAAACAATGATATATATATATATATACAAAGTCATTTTTCCTCTTTTCGCGAAAAAAATGTTTATTCCTGATAATCAAACACCAGAACATGACTTATGTTGTTAAAAATATTTTCTATTATAGAACCTTGTGAGAGGCGTACCATTTGAAGTTTCCTAGTTAAGTCAGGCAGGAGCAGTATGTCTCTGGGGTCTTCAACACGAGATTGACTCCACAAAAAATTCTTCTTTTTCTTGCAATCTGTTCTTACATAATACCAGAAAGCATATATGCATTTCTCTATGGCCTTTAGCACTTCTATTGGCTTGGTTATTTCTCCATCCACTCTTTCATTTAATTCTACATATCCTACAAAATAGAAGTACGTACGTATATCCAAAACTTTAAGTTTATGAGTTCTCAATTTTAAAATCAACATGTAATTTATTGAGTTATGAATAAAATATTACATAAAAAAGTCAAAAAGATATTAGTATTGCATATAGTCTTAAATATCCTTGAAGAAATTTCTAACTTTCCATGTTCTACCTTTTTTTCAACACTAACAATATTTTTCTTTAGTAACGTGTAGGACTTGTAATCTTAAGATGCTAGAATAAGAGAGCTCTTATAAAATACTTGAAGATAATTAAGTAGTAATTTCTTGGGTATATAGGAACGCAACGTACGAAATAAACTATTTAGGTAGTAGGTGGGGGAGTGATTAGTTTTAATTACTCCCCTTTTAGCAGCAGAATAAACTAATGGCGACTGAGATCTTCTTAATACTAATTTGTAATTACTGAAATTGCATGTACCCAAAATAAAATACTATTTCGTATAAGCTTGTAATAAAAAAAAAGTTGTATAAGCCAAGCTAGAAGACAGTGGGTCTATTCAACTTTGATAATAAAGTTTTTACATACAAGTACTAGTAATTATTTAATGAAAGAAGTTCTATCAAAGTGTTAATTACTCCTACAAGAAATGGAGATCTAGTCGTTACACGTAGGAACTAGATAAGCGACGTACTAATGAATCTCAACTTGCCATGTAAGTCAAAATTAGAGGGTCTAATTAAATTTAAGAATAATGATATCAGAAATTAGTAACTAGATTTTGGATTTACTTCTTTATATATATATATCTAGTTGATTATTTAATACAAACAGAAAGTTTGGATCTTAGCTATTAGATTTTTAGGTAATCTTTCAGCTCAACCCCTAATTTATATATATTGAAAGTATACAACAACACTCAATATATTTAGCAGGTAATTTATCATTTTTGAGGTTACTATTTTTACATGAATGAGAGCTTGTAATTGATATTTAATTTAGGTGACTTGGAAATGTAACAATTTGTGTTACGTCATGAGCCGGGGGTTTTGGGAAACAGTCTTTTTTACCTATATAAGGTCTATGTGCACTGTATCTTTTCCAGGCAATAGTGATTTCAAATAGAAATTGAATTCTTCAAAAAATGTTTAAGTGGCAAAAGATTACCAGAAATCTCTGGAACTTGGAGGAGATTCTTTTGGGAAAATCTTGTATGAACATAATTCAAATGCCTTTTGCCTCCACAGCTATCATCTTCCACAAATCTTTCTAGCAGTACTTGGAATTTCTGAAATTTTGCTGCTACATTACCATAAAAGACCCCATTTTTTGAAGTTGAACAACAAAGAGCCTTTACTTTTTTATACTGATGATGAAGTGCTTCCCATGACAAACATGATTGTGCCACAAAAACCAACTCTAAATCACTCTCTAAGCTTCTCACAAATTTTTTTCTATCCACTTTGCTCAATGAAATATATTGGACAGGCAAACCAACTGTAGGCTCCATTTCATACTCAAATGAATTTGGACTTGACAAGTGCTTCCTCAATACTGCACCTAATTAAATTATAACTAACAATTAATAACATTGTTAAGGATTACTTAAGCATACTATAATATACATAGAGGGACCTATAGTTCAAGAAACACATAAAAAAATATGAAGAAAAATATTGCAGGATGTGGCCTACTGGTCAATAATAACATGAAAAAAATCATGATAGATCAGGGTTCAGTTTTCCATACGACTTTGTCATTTCATTTCATCTCCCCGAACTTTGGTGGATAGTGTTACTTTATATTTGTGTGGCTGTGCTAGTAGAAAGTACTAAGTATCTGGTCAAATAGTCGAGCAGCGCACAAGTTGGACAAAACAACATGGTTATAATATAAGAAATTTTTTTAAAAAAAGTAATTGAGCAAAAGGAGAAACTCACTTAAGGCACATAGCTTTTCATGATTGAGAACATCAAACCAGCTCATTCTTTCAGCATATTTCTTGTATAACAAATCTACTTCTTCCTCTGCACAACTTGTGTACTCATGACCCAGCTGTTGATCCATTTCCATATCATTTGTATAGCTATTAAGTGACGGAAAATTTTGGTTCATCGTGCCATAATCCAAAGGGGACGAAAAATTAGAGCTAATAGGAGATGGAAAATATTCGTCAAACCCCTGACGATTAATACCTGGTGACAAACTGGAAACAGAACTCGATAGGGAAAACTCAAGTTCTAGCTCTGTTTCAGATAAAACTGAACCAGGAGATAAAGGGACAGTAATATTATAGTTATCAAATAAATTCATTTTTTCATCGACAGAAGAAATGACTGAACAACAGTCAATAAGTACTTCACTATGATCCTTTTCATGTTCTTCATCAAGTTCCATAAACTCACCTTGATTAGGTTCAACAAACGAACTAATCTTGTGATTTTTATCGAACATTTCAGAGACTCTAGATTGAAAGTCATATACGTAGATCATGTCATCATACGATTTATTTTTCATGTTAAAATAATGGACTGTTTCATACGATTCACTACAACTTCGTCTCATGTTCAAGCTCGTATAAAGGATGATTTCATTTTGGTTTTCAGTATTTGGTATAGCATCATAGTACTCCTCAACTTCTTCTATAGGGATATGATGATTTTTTCTATTTCGTAAGATGAAGTTACACTTCTTGAATAAGAGAAGGCAGAATTTGCACAATTTTGGAACATAAGAAATTAAGAAACAAGAGGACTTATAAACAAAAAGAATGAAGGTTAATAGATATTTTTGTAACACTTTGATCAAAAGATAAAGTTGGCAGAAAGGAAGAAGAAAAGGGTGGATATAGAAACTCAAAAAATACCACTTTAGATATCCATGTGGGATCACGTATAGTTCAATCAAAAGCCAACAGGTCGATAATGGTGTCATTTCAGAAATCCAAAGACTCTCTGAAGTTTTTGTTAACGAAGGAGCAAGATTGGTTTGAGAGTACTGCCCTCTGTGCCAATTTATATTACCCTACTTCCTTTTTAGTCCGTCTAAAAAAAATAACATATTTTTATATTTAGCAACAATATAATTTTGAAATAATTTATAAACACACAAACATCTATGACTTATTTTAGATCATAAGTTTCAAAAGTCAGTTTTTCTTTAGTAAACTTCTTGTCAAATCACATAAATTGGGATGGATATATGATTTTGGACTTAATTATTTTCTTAACTTGGGGCTGGAAATGCGTGCAGGGAACTTATCCAATTGAAGGAGCTTGCTTCCGTTGACTAGATGATACGTACAATAGTTGTTAGTTGGTCACTATATTGATAGTTTTTTGTTGAGGGGTTTTCAACTTTCTCGGCAGGACGGAACAAACGTGGCTCATAATGCAGTTGGTGAGCATACTTAAACTGTGCATTACTACAAACCATAAGTTTATAATATTTACAAATTAAGAAGTTTTCCTTGGTCAATATTATAATTTATAATACAACCATGAGTAATGACGCTACTGATTGAATCATGTCACGCCGAGAAGCAAATGCATATCTGAAATTTCCAAATCTTTGCCTGAATCCTTGTCTTTTTGAAATTAAGGATTCAGAATTTAATATTCATTGAACTTTTGTGATTGTTTTTGTTGAACTCATAAAAAAGGCTGCATGCAGCATGTCCCTCCACTTAAAAGTGATTCGTTGATCTTTTTGAGAAGCTCCACATATCAAATGTATATTAATTAAATGATCAAATGAATTATAAATTCATTTGCTAGAATCTTGGCTATTGACAGGAAGGTTGAAAGAATCATAATGAAAACTGCAAGGAAAGTTCTCTATGATAAGATTAGGTACACTGAAAACTTTAATAAATGTCAACATAATAATAAGATAAAGAAATGAGAATTGTCTTTTGGAGAGGCAATCAGTTAAGGTTGGGGCCGTTTCCGTTTGGCGCAAGGCGATTTACACGAGTCCGCTCCTTTTTTAATGGATCGTCCCACTAGGCACTAACTTATATGAGAAAACATGTGGAGCCTAAATATGAAATTAAACTAGGAGGATGCCATGTCATTATCGTGTCTGGTCGTACCTCAAAGCTGAATAAGAAAGATAATCGTGGATCAAGTCAATTGCGTCTACACCTTTGGCGCATATTCAAACTTTATATTTAGATAATTGTTAACTTACTGTAATAGTGATGGGACTTGGGAGTACACATCCTGGCTCTGGCTCCTGCACAGAAACTGAAACCGTACATGTAGCTCTAGGGAGACAAGTCGCATAACTGAAAACAATCTGAAACATAACGACTCCAAAATCATACATGTGGCTTTAGGGACACAAGTCACATATATACATTCTTTTTGGTCAAAAATTCTAAAATAATAATTATTATTCTGACTGTCTTATACCCATGGCAGCGACATCAACTGAGAATTAATTGATATGAAGTGTGTTGGTACACGCAAACCACTGTCCATATAGTCTTCAACAACAGTTGTTACTATATTGTAGAACTTAAATTAATCAAAAATACGTTTACAAATGCAGTTCTAATCCTGTCAGTTGTATCTGAACCAGTTACTAAGAGTAGGATCACCGGAACTACAGTAAAGCGTACTCACAACCACTAACTCAAATCCAAGTTTCGAACAAGTGCCTATAATCTTCAAGTAAAATTGAAATCGTGACACTCGGAAATACTCCCATTAATGTTATGCAACATCAAAATTTGACTGTTTAAAAATATATTCTAATAGAAAGTAGCCATTAACTACAAACACAAACTTTCATTAATCATATCAATAAGTATTCCGTAACTCATTAGATGAAATATACATATTACAATGATTTCCAACAAAATACAGAACTTACCATGTTAGCTTAAGGTGTTAATCAACCAGATTCTTGTCAGCACAGGGAAGATAGAAGAAAGGGATCAGAAATTCTAAAACAACCTCAAGCAACTTTCTGAGAAACTACAAAGCTTCCTGGATTGATAGTAATGCTCTTGGTGCAGTTATCCGTTTTGTAGATTCCAACTAGCCTATCTGCTAGCTCAAACATATTGTTTCTAAGGCTGCATATCATCAAAACAAAAATTAGATAACTATAGCTTCGTAGTGCTTGTTTCTTTGAATCGGACATATGCCAATACAGTACCTTATGATTATGAACTGTGCATCTTTAGTTCTGTCCTTGACATAATGCCCCACGATTGAGACATTCTTAAAATCTGTGACATACAAGGAAACCACAAAGAAAGCATGAAGATATTGGGAGCTTGATCTTTATTAGCCAAATGCAACAAGCAGAAAAAGAACATACCCAAAGCAGCATCAATCTCATCCATCACATAAAGTGGAGTGGGTTTATAGTGGTGGAGTGCAAAAACAAGAGCCAATGAGCTGAGGGTCTGAAATTAACATTGCTATTAGAAACCGGATTGCTTTTATACAATGTTTCACTAACATACAAAAACCACCATAGCCACTCTTGACACTCACCTTTTCACCACCTGATAAGTTAGCAATATTCTTCCAGCTTTTCTTTGGAGGTCTAACACTGAAAACAACACCTTCAGAAAACGGATCAAGAGAATCCACTAATTCCAGTTCTGCGTCGCCTCCAAGAGTGATCATCTGGGGAGATCACCAAAAGATGTAATACACTATTAATATAGGTGTATATTTCATGCAGGTAATAACTTTACAATTTGCTATTTTATTTTATTTTTTGATGACAACAATTTGCTATTTTTGCTATTATATTTAAAAGGTTCTTTTACTTATAAATGGTTAACTAGTTGTATATCATGAACTAAAAGAGTCCCCAAAACCCAAAAGGATAACCATCAACAGACTTGCTTTTCCATAACATGGAAAGAAATTTGAAGCGAAAAAATCTTTTTTGGCACACAACATAAATCCCAATTTCTAAACAAATCAGTCCATGCACCAGAAAAATGAGCAAATATCCAAATCAGACATAACAAGAAAATAAGAAGAAGATGCCCTGCAACTACAGGATTAATAAAAGGAAAACAATCAAGATGATGTACAATATTAAGTGATATAATCACTTACCCAGAAGAAATTCAACTCAAGTACTATATGGGGAAAACTTTAATATAAGAAAACATGTCAAATATGAGCTGAATACCTGATACATGCAACTACAGGATTAAGAACAGGAAAACAATTTCACCCAAGGGTGTGGCCTAGTGGTCCATAAAGTGGTTGAGAACTCTAAGGTCTCAGGTTCAGAACTCAGCGGGAGACAAAAAAACACTAAACGATTCTTCCCATCTGTCCTAGCCTTGGTGGACAGAATTACATGGTACCTATTGCTAATGGGAGGTGGCAGGTATCCAGTGGAATTAGTCGAGGTGCGCGAAAGTTGGCCCGTACACCACGGTCATAAAAAGAAAACAAAATATATATACCCTACTATCTTTGCTAAAGCACACTTTACTCCTCTACACCTAAAATTATGAATGGCAGAATCACTGATCCAGATGAAATTCAACTCAAGTATTACATGGGGAAAACTTTCATATTAAAAAACAAGTCAAAAATGAACTGAATACCTGATACATTTCTTTAAGCTTCAAAGATATGGTATTAAAGCCCTCCATGAACTCATCCAACCTACAGAGATGTTCTAAGCTAATGACGGAAAACATTGGCAAATGGAAGAGAGAAATCTAATTTGTAGGATGGACGGAACTTACCTTCTCTTTCTCCACTCATCATATTGTTTTTTAATATCATCACGCTCTTGAGTAACAGAATTAAGCTCTTGAACTCTTTCATTGTACACAGATACTTTCTTCCGATACCTAGTGACAGTAGAGACTATTAGCAATTAATATCAAGAAACATAGTCATGCTACAAGCTTCTCTATAAATGAGTACAAGTGTTTACTCAGAAATTGAGTCAAGATTTGGGTTTATCTCTTTCAGTTGAGCCTCTAGAAGTGAAATTGTCTCAAGAGCTGTCTTAAGATCACAAGTCTGACCAAGAGTTTCGTCACTTAGAGTTGCCTGAAGCTTTTCCGGGTCCACCAAGTCTTTTTGAATTCTATACACAGATAAAGTACAAAAAAAAAAAAAAGATAACAGATGAGGGGGTCTGTGTGTATCAGAAAGAGATTGGAAGCTGACAATGTGATGACATGTTTTGCCTCAGAAAGAAATCTCCCGAACTTACTGCTCAATATGCTTTGACAGAGCACTATGCAAATCATCGAGTTTTTTCTTGTATCCTTTCCCTTTGAGTTCCAAGTCTTTATAAACCTTCTTCATATCTTGTAACTTGTAGTCCGCATCTACCTGCAACTCCACTTGCATTAGATCACATAATCATTTATAAATGAAAGGAAGAAAAAATGTCAAAAGGAGTGCCATAAAACCTCTGATGACCGCATCTCATCCATAGTCTTCTTCAAATTTTCATATTCATTTTTAGCACCATTCAGAGCATCTTTGTGCTGATCAATGAGCTAGAAAATCATTAAAACAAAAACATTAGGAAAAAAAAATAGAAATTTGCAGAAACAATCGAAGCAACTTGCACAATCATATGATGCACATCTTAACATGAAATAATGGTACAACCTCCTGTATCTTTTTATAGTCCTCCTGAACAGTAAAAGCTTTCTGTTCGACCTCTTTGAAGATGGAAAGTAACTTCTCCTTCTCAGCAAGTAGACTTTCCTTCTCTTTGTTTGATTCCTCAATCCCCTTTGTCAGTTTTTTAATCATTTTCTGTCCTGTTTCAATCTGAACCTTACGACGGTTGATCTCTGTGCTCTTTTTATCGATATCCTACGGCGGGGAAAAAATGTGTGTAAACAGTAAATCACATAAGCTTAGCATGCACAAAGATCAGTTTTCCACTTACAGATTGTATTTTAGTAACCTTTGCCTTTTGATTTTTCAATCGCTCGCCACCTGCATTCTCTATTTTATTCTGAAGTTCTGAAGCCTGAAGACATAAAACACTGGATTTTGAAACAGCCTTTGGAGCTAGCTTCACTTGAAAATAATAATAGAATGGTCTTAAGAAAAGGATAAACTGCTAGACATGTTATATCACCTTCTCTTTCAGCTGTTTTGAACCTTGTGTAAGCCTGTCCATTTCTTTTTCTTCAGCAGAAATTATTTTCTTGAGTTCCTTCAATCTATTAACTTCATCCTTACTAGGTTCTGATGCACTTCTCAAGGAATCCAGTTGCTTTTTTAGATCATCACATTGGGACTTCAGGCTGTCAATCTGTACAGAAAGCAAAAAAGCATTTAGCTCTGATGGTGCAAGACAAACATTAAGAGAGATTAAAAATAGTCATAGAAAACAATTGCAAATAACATCAATAAAACATGCACGTCAGACCTCTTTTTTGCATTTGGCTAATTCCATCTCGCCAAGAGAAAGAGCCTTCTCTGAGGCCTGGTAACACTTCACAGCATCAGTAATTCTTTGGCGTACATTATCCAAGTTTTCGGCTATCTGTGAAAGTTCTATTTCAGCAGCAGATATAGCCTCTGGTGAAACACTAGCAGCACGGATAGATGTGCCCATTTTACCACCACGAGGTTTACCCCCTCCACCACTCATTGTTCCAGATTTTTCAAAAAGAGCACCTTCAAGTGTTACAACACGGCGAAACTCTCTGTCCCCACCATAGGCAATACGTGATGCCTGCAAAATTAACAGTGTCGCAAATTCTTGATCCAGCAATTGTGACTAACAATGAAAATACATATAATGCATGGTGTCCGAGTCTTGACGTACAATTATAGCAATCAGCAATCCTTACAAAAATAGTATTTGAAATCTCCATGTTATTGTATGTCCTAAAATAGATAACTGGAGAACCCCAGCTAAAATCTCGTTTCAAGACGTCCAAGTGTTAAATTTCTCAATCTTCCATTTTGGCGACAGAGAAAATAATCATTGCATTTGCTAATCAGTCAAAATGTTGACTAGAGATAATTTTACCAAGCAGGTCAAGAAATGGTATGACAAGCCAAATAGTCAATGCAGTTTTATTCATCACGAAAGAATTAAAAGAATTATGTAAACATCACCTGATCAATATCTTCTGCAACAACTGTATTTCCTAATGCCGCAAAAAATGCTAGTTTCATCCTCTCATCTCGGACCTTAACCAAATCAAAAAGGCGTGGGACTCCTTCTGGCGTTCTGACTCTCTCTTTGATTTTAGGCAAATAATGAGCTTGTTTTTCCTGCGAAAAATATGTAAAATCAAATATACATTTGAAATAATACCAATGATTTTACTTTTCAGGGGCTCCTTCCCAATGAGTATTTTGGAAGTGTAATTTTTAAAGGTAATAACACACTTTCTAGTTCAAACCAAATACATTTAACCTCCAAAATCAATGTGAGATTTATCTACCATTTGAATGCAATACATTTATCCACTTGCTTAATTTCAATTTTTTTTGTAACCAACTAGCATTAGGAAAATACTACCAACTACAAAAGTACTCTGATCCTCACGGAGGTCAATTTATGATCCAGCTTCTTATTTAATTTTCACTGAAGCAATCATATTCTTTCATATGTTCAACAGAGACAGTAAGATTTCAATCCAATTATAGACCAGTTGGTTAGCTTATCTAAAGGTGGTGCATAGTTTAAGAAGCTACAAAAATAAAGGACATACCAAAATCATGAAAGTTGCTACACCAAGGGTTTTGCTTCGAAGAAGCTCCACGCAAGCTTGTGCTGCTTCTGTAGTTTCTACAACAATATATTCAAGCCCAGCACATGCGGTTGATATGGCAACATCATACTTTGCTGTGGGAAAATAAAATATTTAGTAATTTATGCTCAAATTATGTAAGCTATAGTTCAGCTCTTAATTTCACTAACTCTGTCAACAAATGAAACAATAATAAAGCAAAGAACACGAACTAGTTTTAAATGTGGCACGAATATGCTCACCATCAATCGCACCCAAGTCACCCATTCGACCATAAATGCCATCTATCACATTTGCCTCCTTAGCATGCATTATTGCTTTTAGGACAGATCCCTGGCTCTTCTCAGATTCCATAACAGATGAAAGCTCAGTAAGCTTTTGTCTGGCAGCTTGTTCTAGAGGTATCAATCTTTCTTGTTCTTGAAGGCATTCCTACAACCAGTCAAGTACATCACATCCCAGAACAAATGCAAGAGCTGGTTAAAATGACAAATGGTAGAGATAGTCAAAACACATACCTTTTCAACAGCTCGAGCCTCAAGTGCTTTAAGCTTGTGCTTCTCAAGCTCATTGGCGATGTTTTTTGTGCTTGCCGATTTCATCTCTACTCGTTTCTGTATTTCCACAATCTGCTCTTGTGCTTCAATATACGCAGCACGACCAGCCTCATGCTGAAAGCATTAATGACTAACCCCGTTAGTGAAAGATTAAATAGCTAGCTTAAGGACCAACTAAGCAATTTTTAAGTGTGTATTATTCTGAAAAACTGCTAGTGGAACTTGACATGAGGTAATGCGCTTGGCATTTTAAGCGTCCATGTTGGAATAAGACAGGTCATGACTAAAATACTTCATGCAGCTTCAGTTAAAAAGTGCAATCTCATAGGGTAAGTGAATCATATTTTAAGGAATGAGCTGCCAGAGTATGAGTAGAGAGATCTTAAATGTTATAATCAGCACATACCTTCTCACTCAAAAGTTTACTTTCAGTTGATGCCACTTCAAGCTTTCCCTTGTGCTCAATTAAGTGCTTTTCCCAAGGCTCTAATTCAGATCGAACAGCAGAAAGCTCACTGCGGAAAGCCTCGGTTTCAACTATTTGGAAACAATTGTACAAGAGTGAGACCAATATATTTTGATAAGTTAGAGCTAGACAAATAAATAAGGCTGTTATTAGCAATAAGCATCAACGGTTTCATGCAAAAGTGACCTTATGTAATAACTAATAACTTAAATTGCTAATCATCTAACTCTTACCCAAAACCACCAATAAGAACAACCATTAATTATCAAACCAAGGAAATATTTTCTAAAGAGGTCAAAAAGAAAAGGAGACCTTTAAAATGAGAAACGAGCCAGCAGCTTAAAGTCAGGAAGGCTTCTGAGTGTGATGCCACTCCATATGTACTGATCAAGAGCTATGAGAAAATAACCTTATAACCGATACGGTGATATCAATTACTTTGAAAAAGGAATGGTAATTGTTGTTGTTGTTACACTCACTTCTGATCTTAAGTTCTTAAAAGGTATTTACTCTGGTCAGGAACTTACATGCCTGGGCAGAGATAAGTGTGAGATCTAGAGATCCCTAACTGGACAAAATAATGTAGAAACAAGCATAAGAATATAGCCGACCCCAACTAATTGGAATTGAGGTGTAGTTGAAAGATTAACTAATTGTAAAATGTTGCATAATGGCAATAGGACAAATTCAGAGTATTTGACATGCAAACCTCCAAACAAGCACTTGGTTCAAGTACAATACCTTTAGAATTCTCCTTTATTTCCTCTAAAAATTTCTCCTCACCCACCAAAAGTTGTTGCAAGCTTGGAATATCTTTCTCCAATTTTGGAATAAGATTTGCAGACTCCTCGCACTCATTAGTTGTGTCAGCAATTTTACGAGAATCCTTTCAAAATGAAACAAAAACAGTAAGATTACGAGTAACTAAGATTCTCTTCTTCACAAAGATGTATTTATTTGTAATCTAAGGTACAACTTTCAGCATATCATACCTTATCAATTTTATCAGTCAGTTTCTTTATCTTCTGCTTCAAGTGATTTAAATCTTCTCGATACTTTACATCTTGCCTCTCAAATTCCTTGAACTCATCCTTGCAGCGCCTTAGACTGTTATCAAGCTCCTACAAGTTTCGAACAAAATAAATCTGAATTCTTTGACCATTGTAATAGTACTCAAACCAATTAATCAAGATACTTAATTCAACTCAGCAAGTAGGAGAAGAATCCACCTCATTCTGGTTTATCAGATTTAAAACCATAAGATCGTAATGCTTACGGATTCCCAAAGAAACCACCTCATTCATAATTACATGATAATATGCAAAGGGTATACACACTTTTTATTCCATACCTCTTGTCTTTTCAGAAACTTTGAATGCTTTGACTCAAGGTCCTTCAATGCCTTGCTATTTTCCTTAATTTTCTCCCTGGAAAGTTAAAACATTCATTGAGTTCAGCACTCAATGAAAGCACTATTGTAATGAAGGGGGGTTGTATTGAAATGAAGAAATGTAACTACAGGCACTGATAGAGGAATTCGCCTCTTTTCTTGCAAAGAAACTAAGGGAAAAAAGGGAAAACAAAGAAGGGAGGGAAGTTCCATATTTATTCTAAGTAAACAACAAATAAAAAAGCACTATGCTCTTGCATAGCCCTCACAAAATATAGTAAGCCACCTTTCACTTTTAAGGTTCTCTTCTTGTCTAGAAATGTTCGCCTGCATCTCCGTAATTCGAGTTGAATTATCTTCAAAAGCCAATTTTGTTGCTTTCTCTTGCCATTTGAGAAGTGATAATTCTTTAAGCATGTAGGCTTCTGCGTCATTTTTTACTCCCTGTTATTGAAGAAATGGACAACATGAACACATTTCTAAGAGCACAAGCAAATCATAAATTATGTAATGGTCTAACCTTACCTCCAAGTTATCTCTTTCTTTCTCAGCTAACTTAACCATTTGAACAACACCAGACCTTCTTTCATTGAGGGATTCTAGCCTATGATAGCATCAAAAAATAGTGAATGCAGATTCTAGAGGCATCAAGTGCATCTTTTTAGGCACATAATCTTCTCACTGAGGATGCAAAACATACACAAGGGAGAAGGAAAGAACATACTGGTAAGGAAAAGAGTAGCATAACTATTATGATATCACAAGATTCAGTTTGAAACTAAGAACATTTTTTGTGCCAAAAAGAATTTCATTTCAGAGTGAGAACTAACTGCTTGAATGATTCATCAATCTTCTCAACGTATTTTTCGGTTCCGATAATATCCTCTAAATACTCAAGAAAGCCTTCATCATGTGGTCCTTGTCCTCTAGGTTTCATCAGTGATATTTGTTCAACCTCACCCTGCAAAAGAACCACCTATTTAGTGTGGTTCGTTCAAGAAATTCCTACCTCTCTATCTATCTATGAGATGTTTGGATTTTTCAAAATTCCATGGACATCTCCATATGAATAGAATCCAATTTGTGAAATTAACAAAGATCACATGACAAAAACAATATAGACCTGAAGAATCAAAAATCGGTTGTTATCTAGATCAATCCCTTTCCCTTTCAGCATCTTAGTGACCTCTGTGAAGTTACTTGTCCGGTCATTGATATAGTACTTAGAGGAATTATCTCGAAATGCCACACGTGTAATTACAAAATCACTTCCAGGAACAGCTTCATATGTCTCATCATCCTATTTAAACAAAAGAAACACTTAGAATATAACAGAGATTCTAAATAGTTATCTCAGAAACAGGAAAATACACAATTACCAAATCAATAATCTCCTGAAAATGAACAGACACGCCAGCACTATCCAAATTCTGGTGGTTAGTTGAATTGTGGATGAGCTCTGACACTTTGTTTAGACGCATCTGCAGAGTTTATCATTGAAGCTCAAATTTCAACAAGCATACAGATGGAACGGTCCATTTTAAAAGGCTTGTTGTCCCCAAGCTCCAACATAGCAGAGCTAACAGCCGTTTACAATCATACAGGTTAGTGAGTTTTACATCAAAGGTAACTAAGCTAGTGATCAACTAATTTTGTAGCATAGTCAACTTTTACTTTATTCACCAAGAGAATAATATTTTAGAAGTTATAACAATGAATTTTCCAATTTTGTCAGTCATGGTGCCAAAAAACACGAAAAAAAAAAATACTCATAATCTTACCTGTTTGGCCCGCTTTCCGAAGACGAAGAGCATTGCGTCGATGACATTACTCTTTCCACTACCATTAGGACCAACAACTGCAGAAAAGCTCTGTACAGTGGGGAATTTTATTACATAAAAGGAATGAACTTAATTTCTAAAATATCCAATTACCACCTAATTCCTGAAATACTCAATTACTGGAAAATATGTAAAAGCAAACCCTAACCTTATGGAATGGGCCAACGCGCTGTTCGCCCGCATAAGATTTGAAGTTTCTCATCACCATCTCTTTAATGAATAGCCTGGGAGGTCTAGATCCAGGATGAGATGACTCATTTTTGGATTCGTGGGAGTTTGAGAATTCCTTATCTACAGCCATGTTTACTCCCGGAGAATAGCTTTAGGCTGTACCGAAAAGAAGGACCGAAAGACTGGCTACTGAAGGTCAACTCCAGCAAAGTGCTGGAGTAGAAGAGGAGTCCGGCGAAGTGCTGGGGTAGAAGAGGAGCGTGAGAGAAGATTTGAACTACTTTTTTTTTTTTTAGTGGTAGCGTAAGAATTTAAATTTTTGGCAAGATCAACTAGGAATAGATGGGCGGGAAACTCCGGTATGATTTAGGCTCTTATAATGGGCTTTTCTAAGCCAAAGCCCAGCCCAGACCAGTAATTGGAACGTCGTAAACGGCATCGCGTCGGCCTAATTTCCTGATGCCCAAATAATCCTTTCCTGGCCTAAATCTTGGTACGCGTAGGTCCATAAGGTTTGGAATCTCAATTTCATAGTTTTTATTTGAAATCAGTGTATGCTTATGAAAATTGCTTAAATTTTCAACTTTAATTTCAAATTCTAAATTCTCCAAAATTCAAATTGTAATTTCAAAATTTTTGAACTCTAAAACATGACTTTGTATCATGTGAAAAGATTATTTTGAATACTAGCTAGCTAATTAGTACTATTATTGATTAATGGATCTTTGTATAATTATGTATATTTGAAATTTTGTAATAGCATGTAGTTGTAGACATTCATTTGTAAAATAAAAATGGAAACATGTGATTTATTAATGTGGTGCCTTAACATATTTTGATATCTATAATGTATAATAGCATGTAGTTGCAGACATCCATTTGTAAAATAAAAATGGAAACATGTGATTTATTAATGTGGTGCCTTAAGATATTTTGATACCTATAATGTATAATAGCATGTAGTTGCAGACATCCATTTGTAAAATAAAAATGGAAACATGTGATTTATTAATGTGGTGTGATTTATTAATGTGGTGCCTTAAGATATTTTGATACCTATAATGTATGATTTGCTCTTTGATAATATATTATTTGAGAACTTTATGTCAAGTTCAACAAAGAGAAGGTGACAATTTGAAGATACCTTGGACACTTGAAATGGTTCAAAGAAATTATTTAAACGTCAATTGAGGAACTGTACAATTCAATATGTGTAAGCATCGTAATACTAATCCATTATGAATACAAGGTGTATATATATCTCATTTCATATAAGCTAGCGTTTGGTCATATATTTCTAAATATTCTTGGCAAATATAAATTTCACCATGTGTTTGGCCATAATATTTGGGAAATATATTTCATTTTTTTAGAAAAATACTCCCTCCGTCCCTATTTAGGTGTCCTCTTTAGAAATGGCACACAGATTAAGGCAACAATGATTAGCACAGTAAAGTTACAATTTTATCCTTGTAGTACAATTTACAATTTCAAAATAAATTAACTCAAGATAACTAATCAATGTTGGAAAATTCATAAGTTTATTTACTTTATTTATGATAACTTTATTTAAATAAGGGTATAATAGGAAAATTTTTGTTGTGCTTTCTTGATTTGTCAAAATGGACAACTAAAAGAGGAAATATGGACAACTAAATAGGGACGGAGGGAGTATGATTTATACCCATAAGTTTTAAAAACTATCAAAATTAATCATAATTTTGTATTACAAGTCAATTGAATCTTCGTTGCAACAAATAACAAGTAGTGTCCATGACACTAGAGCAATGTGGTAGTTTGGAGTGAGTGCAACAAGCATCGTGAAGTAGACAAAACACATGACTTTGTTACCCTGAGCCGATTGTTCATCATTTTCATCAACAACCATATCATCACTTTCATATTTCATCACTATTTTTGGTGTTCACGTAAAAAAATTATGTAATACAACGCAAACAACTACTATAGAGGGTGTTTTTGTAAAATATAAAATTTTGGTGTAAAGTTTCAATTTTTAAAAGATCCCAAATAATGAGATTTGGCCCAAATACTAGAAAAAATTAGTATTTGGGAATTTGGAATATTTACCAAAAATATTTATCAAATAATGACAAATTATATGGACAAACACTATTTGCCAAAATTTTCTCCAAATATTATTTGGGAAATCTATGATCAGACGGGCCCTAAGTGGTGGTTCCACAGTACGACGAAGGGTATTTTTGTTAATATAACTTAAAATGAGCCTCTTTTACCTTACTTAAAATTACGTGTCTATTCACTAGATGCCCATCTGGCTACAATTTCCAATTTTCCAAACATAATTGTTCCTATTGGACTGCAATTGAATTCTCATCTGTCTACACTTCAAAAAAAATTGGTAGGAAAGTGGCGCCTATGGCTTTTTTTTTTTTTTTTTTTGCTTTTCTTTGCCAACTATACAACACGACATAAAATCTTAAATTATTTAGATGGATAAAAATAAAGAATAGAATACGTAGTGTTTTATTTATCAAGCACACCATTTGCTAATTGAGTGGTATTAAAGGTATCATTTTCGTCCCTCAAATGTGGAGGCCATTAGAATCCACAACCATACAAAAAATTAAATCATGCAGAATGGTTTGAAACTGCATTTGCGGAATGGGACTAATTATCAAAAATACCTGAAGTGCTGACATATATGGTTTATGGTTAAAAGTTGAAACTTAAAGACGCGTTTTGTTAGCTTGATATTGTTTCAATTTTCAAATAAGTAAATAAACTCAGAAAAAATTTCAAACTTAAGAGTATAATTTGAATAGCGACCTCAAAATTATGTCTGTTCCTGCATGAACAAGCCTAAAATAATGTGTTCGAATTATTTTCTGGCCAATGTAAAATTGTGTTCGGCCCACTGATCGAGAAAAAAACTGCAACTCTAAATTTTAGATAGATTTCACCACTGAAAAATATGAAATGATATTGTACATTTTTCCTTATTTCTTTCATTTTGAATATGATTTAGTTAGATAATTTTTCCTTATTTCTACTTCTTGCACATTTTTGTTAGTTTCATTCAAATGGACAGTCCTTAAATTTGGCCTAAGATAAATGATTTATCAGTATCAGGAGCATAGAATGATCAAGAATGAATGCACTAAATGTCGCCATAGTACTTTCTCCAATGAGTTTAATTAGCAAGCTAGCTCATCATATAACATGAACAATAAGGGATCGTTTGGTGTGAGGGATAAAAATAAATTGTGATAGGATAAAAAATTTGTATCTTGTTTGGTTGTCATCTTTGAGATAACTTATCCCACCATTTATATCATAGTGATGGAATAAGTTATCCCATATACATGGTGGATAAGTTATCCCAGGATAGTTAACCCCAAGATAACTAATCATGGGATAACTTGTTTCCAATCAAACGACCTCTAATAGATCTGGGTGAAGACCATGTAAAAAAGAGAAAAAAGAATACCCACTCTTTAATTATACATATTGTACCGTAACTTTTACTGGGGAAATTTGGTACAAAATTAAAGTATTCCACATTCACACAAGATTTGGAAAAGAGCTGAGTCACACTCCAAAGGTGGTGTGACGTAGGTAGTGCATACTAACAGTCTATCTTAATACATAATGATTGATTGTACTGCTCGAATTCATTGCCTATAAATCACATGGAGAAAATAAATTTACATCGACGTTAAATGAAACTGCAAGCTGAATTAAAGAAAGTAGCAGAATTCCCGAAAAAAACATGCGGCTGTGAGGCTTCAATAAATTCATAGATTTGACACATACCTGATTAAAAATTAACACTTACCTAAAGCTTTGTTCCCTTCCATAATACCTAACTCTATCTAAGATGTATATATCACACAATTGTGCTGGTCTTATCCAGCCACATGCAATCTTAAGAACATGGCATATATTGTTGTGCTCGTTTTAATAAGAGCGAACCAAACGTAAGTCTTTTTGCAATATCTCCCCCTTCTGTTAATTTTCCCTAGCACTTACAATTATCAGCCACATATAATTTGGGATATATGGAGAATGATGTTGAGAAATTTGTTGCCATATTTTTTTAATAACTTAGTTTTGTTTTCTTGAAAGAACTTGGGTAAAAGAATCATTTGGGTTATATAACAAAATACATGATAACATATACTCAAGGGATGCAGAAGATTAGTAAGCAGTAGAACATAAATTAAAATAGCTTACCCACTGCATTAAGGATAGAATTCCAAGACAAGATCAAATTTATGTAGAGACTTGAGCAAAACTTGACACTTCTAATGCCATTTGCTCCATCAATCTCTGATTAAAAAATAACTCAATAACATGACACGATACCATCATGGCAACTTCTACATAATCAGTTAGTCACTATATATGTAAGGGGAATTCTTATCATCACCTAATAAAGATAACCATTACAAGAAAAGCATTCGGACTTAATCAATGGCTGAGACAGAATTTTCACCATCGTCCTACTCCCCTCCCAATCAAAGCTCCAATTCAAACAACATCATAATCTTTAACTGATATCCACAAGTTTGGAATAACTTTAATTTTGTTTGGCACAAACAATTTTTTTGATAACACAAAATGCTTATGTCATACTTAACACATCACATATAAAAAAAATTGAGAAACAGACCATCAAGTCTAATCAAAATAGAAACACATTTTTTCTCCCCTAAATTCATTACTAATTTATTACATATAAATAAAAGGTTCATTTTTGACCATCAACATGCAAATCATTACAAACGATTTCACACCTTATTCACACACACACACATATATATATTTATAAAACACAAGCTTCCAAATAGGGAAATTAGAAATCCCTCCCCATAAATTTCTTCACTCCTTCAACACAAACACACACACACACACACAAGAGACAAATCCGATTAAAAATTAAACTTACTTCTTCATGTAGTAGTGGAAGAAGCAGAAGTACATTCAGAAGCAACATCAGTTTCCACTTCCCTTCTGTGGAAATTGCGGTGGCAGCCACAGGCTGCACAATTTAGGGTGCCGGAAGTACTGCCCTGGGGCATGTACTCCCGGCACCCGTCGATGACATATCCACCGACACTAGCAGCATGATTTCTCTGGCACTCTACATATCTCACTGTCCTCATGGTAAAGGATGAATTTGTAGAGTTTCTTGAGTAGTCATTTCTCCTCAAAACTTTTTTCATCTCTTCTAATAATTCAGCCAAATGAGAAAATTGAATATGGCATATGGGTTACTGGAAGAGAATAATAAAACACCCTTTGCTTATCTGGAAAACCCTAACCCTAGAAGGC